AGTTAAAAAGTTGCTATTTCCCTCATAATTCTAAGTACTTCAATAGAAAGATCTTAGTCTTTGCGAAAATTTAAAATAGAGAGATCTTGTTACTTAAAAGCAACTTTTTTCTGATTTTTATCTTTTGCATTGAAGACTGAGCCATATCCTCCATGAGCAATTTGATCCTAAATTTGATACCCATCATATATATCTCTAATCTTTAGAGATATGTTTGCTGGCTAGTAAGTTGTAGGATTACTTGATAAATAATATTGTAATTCCTTTAGATTTAATTGAGGAATGTCAAGTTAAACTGTTGCAACCATTGTTTATAATTCTAATTATATCTAGTTTACCATATATCTCTACATCGTTTCAAAATATTAGTCCAAATCATTTAGTAAACCATTGATATTACTCTACATTTAAATGCTTGTTTAAAGTTTATAATTCTAAAAGTGAAACTCTGAGTACTTTTTCAGTTATTACATAGAATTTCCAACACTTGATTTTACTTGATAAAAGTAGTAATTCATAACATTGCACTAATACTTATCATATTATTATCTATCCTAAATCAGTTTAAGAAATTCTCCTTTCAAATATTTAATTGAGGGTCTTTGAAAAGGATCAAATTTTGTCATTTAGTCGAAAATTTCTTGGAATTGAGAGTATTATTCTGGCAATCATATTTTCAAATATTGATTATGAGGATTAGAAAGTTCTCTGTTAATATCTATTATTCTTCCCCCTTATTTAATTTTACTTGTTCCTGTCATTAGATAGTAGAATACAATTCCAAGAGACCAAATATCAACCTTATTATGATATTGTTAGCCTAGTTTAACTTCTGGTGCCATATATCCTTATTTCTTATCAAGTTAAGAATGCCACTCGGAAAAATCAGAATCAAAATTACCGATTTTTATTATGCCATCATTAAAAACAAATAAATTATCTGGTCTTATATCTCTATGAATAAAGCCGCTATTATGGATAAACTCTAATCCTTCGAGTAATTGGAGCATGATAAAAGCAACTTCAGAAATATTTAATGATTTGTTCTCATCGTTCAATTTCCTTTTTATATATTCTTCTAAATTAGAGTCTGCCAGCTCACTAACAATTACAAATTCATTTTAGTAATTTAGATGGGCATCTTAAATTTCCAAAATATTTGGATGTCTCAGCTAGAATGCTGCATTTTCTCTCAACAATCTAAGTATTTCATGAGTAAATTGTTTTTATTCATAAATGCTAAGGAATTATTTCTTTTTCAGTGCTACTCTTCTTCCTCCTTCGATTCTTTCTTGATCAACTAATATTTCAGCTAAATAAGTTGATCCAAGTGACCCATTTGGATGTTTGTCTATTACATAATATCTTTTATTAGTATCACAGATATGTAATCCAATTGCAGCCATTATTTTTTGTTTAACCTTAAGTTATTAAATATCAAGATAGGGTATTCAATCAAATATTTAAAATTCTCTATAATTTATTTTCCTTAATTTTTGATATCTTTAACAAGGGGTTTTGGGGTTTTGGGGTTTTGGGG